AGCCACACTGCAGACCAGGATTGCTGGGATATAAAGCAAAATGTATGGAGTGATGATAGATGAAACTCTTGAGAACTTGTGTTGGATCTGGATGGTGAATGTTTTTGAAAAGGTTTACTTAGAAGGCAGAGGTGCATTGTGATTACTGAGTGCCTGCTGTATCCCAGGCATATACTTGATCTCATCAAAGTTTACAATTCTCCTATTTGAAAAGCATTATTAGCCATACCCTTTCTAACAAAACTCAGACACATTTTTATTTTCCGTAAATCACACTAGGTAAGTGGCAAGAAGAGAGAGAGAAAAAAAGACTGACCTCTTAACATATTCTCTGTCTACTATAGTCTTTCCCACTCTCTCTTTATGACAATTACTTTCAATCCTTTTTTCCCCCTCTTTCTGATTATCTGATGAAACTATCAGTCCAGTCTGCAGAGACATGCATGGAAACACATATAAACAAAATTTTGCTCGTCTTATATTTCATTGGATGAGAATTTCATTTCCTTCGTATGGACAGATCATACAAACAAGTCTTACAAGTCTTATTTCTGTCTCATTATTCACTCTGGGAAACAGTAGTGTTTTCCTTAAAAAATAAATCCAAATTTTGCAAGTGAACAAAAAATATAAATTTGAATTCTGCTGAAATGTAGAATTTCAGTGGGGAGACTGCTGTTGTTTGATTAAATAAGAAATAAAAATTTCAGAGCCATCTGCATGACAACAAAATTGTTCCTATCTAATTAATTTTGACATTTTTTTTTTTTTTTGGCAAAAAGTCCCCCCTACCCTGACTCACTCACAGAGGTAAGTAACAAACCACATCGTCGTTCCCAGAGCTTGCTTTGCCATACTAGGTCAGCCGTGTGTCAAGGAGGCCCGGAATTCTCTAAGACTCTTTGAATTCAATTTATTTTGTATGATCCCCTTTGTCCTAGAGTTAATGAGGTCAGCTCTGGCAAAGACTCTGCATTCTTGATGCCATCTGTGTCAGCAAGGCAAGGATTATGAGTCCAGCTCAATCGTGAGGCTGTCTATGTACTAGTAAACTCAAAAAGCATTCTGCCACATTTCCAGGTGTCTATAAATTTCTGCTTGCAGAGAAACAAAGTTTTGTCACTGTGGACAACAGTCTACAAAAGCATTTTTTTTTCTGGATGGGGAAACTGGGTAATTTCCACCTCCCAGGTCTTTGAGAATAGTGAAAATGACTGAAACTCTTGAGACTTTTTGGTAGTCTCCATAATGGTGAAAATTTGGCTTAAACTCAAAGTGTTGCTTTAACTTTCAAAAATGGTCACTAAGAATCTCTCCCTATCAGATTATTCTGAGAAAAAGTGCTCTTTAATATGAAAAAAACATATGACCGTCTGCCAGAAGTTCAGTCAGGTGCTTCCAGACTCATCCTGTAAAAGCTGGTAAACCTCCCTAGAGAAGGACTTCCGAATCTACTCTCATTTTTTGATAAACATTGAAAAAGTGGTTCAAGGCAAGGACAACAGGAGGTTCTCTGAGGCTGATCGGCTGGGTCTGACACTTAAGCACACTGATGTAGAAAGCACTCAGGGATAATGTCACCTGCTGCTGCTTTCCCCATTGTGTCAGTTCTCTGCTGCTGTGCAACAGGCCACCCCACAATTTAGCAGCTTCAACAACCACCATTTATTTGGCTCATGATCTTGTGGGTTGGCAATTTGGGCTGGACTCAGCCAGTGGTTCTTCTGGGCTGGACTGGGATCAGTTGATCTTGACTAGGCTCATGCATGTGTCTGCATCCATGCTGGTGTGTTGGCTGGTTTGTGACGGCCAGCCTGGTCTTGGTGGTTGAGATGTCTGAGCTTTCCCTCCATGTGGTTTCTAATTCTCCAGGTGGTTAACCTGGGCTTGATCACAGGGTGCCTAGCTTCCATGAGCAAACAGAGAGCAAGCCTGTGAGACAAGACCAAGTGCTTTTCAAGTGTGTGTGTTTGTGTTTCCTTTGCTTCTGTCCTGCTGGTCAAAGCAAGTTGCATGGTCAGCCCAGATTCAAGGCATGGACCCAGACTCTATCGGTAGGATGTAACTAATGATGTCTTTCAGTGAAGCCAACACCTGGTTTTCATCTATTTTCACTTACCCACGTGTGAGAATGTGGATACAGGAAGGAAGAGAATTTGTGGCCATTTTCCAATCTACCACTTGCAAAGCACAAAAGCTCTTCCAGACTTAGGGGGCCAATATGTTATACCCTTTCTCCCACTTTTGGGTTTAGAACTTATTGGGAGAAGTATATGGGAGTCAAACACGGCCAGATCAAATATCAGCTTTGTTACTAGTGAAGTTGGAATGGAGACACAGACTGCATTTGTCATCTGAACAGACTTTCTACAACCCTCTTTGTCCTGGAATGGCAGTAACAATTGGAATTAGAGCTGTTCCCTTGCAGGAGCTTAAAAACATACGTGTGTTTTGAGTAGGTAGATGCCAGAGAGAAACACAAGGAAGAGGCAAGGTAGAGATTATTTTCTGCTCTGCAGAAAAAAATGGACCACAGGATACTGGACACTTCCTCTTCATCAAAGAAATAAAGAGAAATGTGGAAGAAGGGGGCAAATGACTATTTTATAGGCCTAGGTGGAAATGCTGTGATGGGGAGAATAATGGTCTCCCTTAACCCAGATGTGTTTCTAAGCAATGAAGGTATTTCTTTGCATGTGTGCCCTGAGTGCCATTTTCCTCTCTAGGTAAGATTTTGCTTGGCAATGAAACCATTCATCATTTTGAAGATGCCGATGGCCAGTAAAATTTCCCAATGGGACTTGCAAAATAGGACTTCTTTGACGGAGTAAGTGAAAATAGATGAAAACCAGGCGTTGGCTTCACTGAAAGACATCATTAGTTACATCCTGTTGCAAGTGTAAGGGAAAGAGGTACCAATTCCATGACCTGTTTCCAAGCACTAGAGGAAATTTGGTGTTTTGGAAGTGGTGCCGTTTAATAGGGGGGAGGCTTCTATTTTCTTCCCATGCTCCAAGACCCAACGCAGCTTGACCATAGCTCAAAAGGAACTGATTTATGTAACTTTCATTTTTCCCTGGCAAAGCCATGAGCAAATGTTGGGGGTTGAATTTTCATGGTCACAACTGTCCTTAAAACTCAGGTTTGTAAAGATGTTCACTTGCTTTATTTCTATATAAAAGAGTGTCTTAGCTCTCATGCCTCCAATTCCATGGATGGTGGAAAACTCAAGCAGGCTTACCTGAGTATAGTTTAAAGCTCAGTCTCTCTGGGACATTTGCACAATCAATTCAAGATGCTTGAATTGATTCTCCTTTTTCCTTTGCTTCTCCTCAAGGGATGGGCATAAGAAGGACAGAGGGCATCTAGTCCATGATCATCCTCTGTTGGTGCTGACCCCTGGTGAAGTGACTGAACTAGGTAGGTCCTTGTCATCGAGTGTTGACATTTGCCAGTGTGGTCTGTGGTCCTATCTGGCCTCCCTTTGACAGGCCATGCTTTCTGTGACCTCCTCATCCTGACCCAGCTCCCTTTGGGACAGCTACCATCTCTCAGCTCTTCTGTTTTCCCCTCGATGGCTTTGAGACTCTTGCTGTCTTTCTTTCCACCACACAGAGGTGTATCGGAGTCTACTCTATGAGGCCATTCTCATACCCGTCCACCAAGACTCCTTCCTCTGCCGTTGTTAACTCTCCTGCTCTTGTGCCTTGCTGGGGACAGCCTCTCTGTAAAGTTTGCAGACTCCCTAGGGGACATTGGAGGGGGAGACGTGAGTATTTTCTGCTCTGAGATATCCCCAAATCATTTGGTGTTTCTTTGAATCTCCCTTCTTTCCTAACTTTCATTAGAATGGGTAAGGGGGAGGTCTCTTCTTCCTCAATAACACTCTCAAATTTATGGTAACCTATCTCCTCTTCTCAACCTAGGTAATGCATCTCACCTCCTCTCTGGTCTTCTTTATCTTTTATTTAATGCCCACGCTTTGGTTTTTTCAGGGTTCAGCCCTTGATTATTTTCTCAAGGCTTTCAAGACTGCTGTCATGTTAAAGCTGTAAAACAGGCATTCTGAAACCCAGATGAGTGTCTATTTGAGGCTGTGTCCCCCTTCTCCACTGAGGGCAGGGCATATGCTGCAGGTTGACATGGTGGGGGGCAGAGGGAATGACTAGGAAGTACAAGGGAAGAGCATTTGTGTTAGTTAGCATTTGTCTTAGAATTTTATTCTCCTATAGAAACTTCTACTTATGCCAGATAAGGCTTCTGGATTGGGACAAATCCAAGTTTTATTAATATTGCAAGTTTTTCAAATTAAGAATCATTCCCACCCAAGATCCACCTAGAGGCAGTAGTAGGCTGATACTGTCACTCTTGGGGCCTGGGAAGGGGCTGGTAGTGCTGTGGTCTGGGTGGCAAGTCACCAAAGGAGACAGAGGAGCTGTTGTGGGCAGAGGGGCATGGGGCTGGTTCCTCCACTATCTGTCATGTTAGCTTTGCTGGCAGTTCCATGTTACCTACAGCACTCATGTACTATCCATCTGTTCACCAGGAAATTTCTCTCTCAGTGTGGTAGCACACAGAACCTCACCCCTCCGAGAATGATGGCCGAGGTGCTATAGTTTTGAGGTGCAGTGTTCTGAGGTCAGTGGAAAAAGACCTGCATCTTGCCTTACCCTTTCCCAGCTCTGTGGCCTTGGGCAAGCTACTTCATCTCTCTAGCCTTCCATTTTATGATCTGAAAAATATAAAGAATGTTAGAACATCTAATGTGTGTTTGTTAGGAGAATTAGGTGAGCTATGATATACACAGTCCTTGGCAGACTGCCTGGTACTTAATAAATGCCCAGTGAAGGTTAACCATTATTCTTATTGTATCTTCGTTAACTTTTATTGCTGTTGCTGTTGTTATTCAGGAAATGTAGACTTTGCTGTGGGCCCATGTTTGTTCTTTTGCCAGTGACTCACACTGTCCAATGTTAGACTGAGCACGGACAAGGGCCAGGTGCCAGTTTAGTTAGGCTGGCTGTGAGCTTTCCTTGGCAAGATCACTGTCACCCAGAAGGACAGCCCCGTTGGAGCCCCGCCATGTTTGGTGATGAAAGTGTGGGCAAAGGATGCGTGGACTTTGTTGACGTTTTCAAGTTCATACGAGGGCTGGTGTAGAGTGGCCATGTTGAAGTCATCGTCACAGGCAGGTTTTCTTCCTATCACAGAGATCCTATTCCAGATATCATAAAGTGGTGAGCATGATTATAGCACTTGTTAGGCAATAGTATCTTAATAATATAATTTGACATAAAAAATGTTTTCCCCAAAGAAAACATTTATGCCCAGTGCTATCCACATAGTAAATGTATAATAGATGTATGATAGGTGAATAGTAGATGCCCACCAAATCAAATTGAAAAGTTTTCAGGACTCGAAATGACCCAATTTGCCATGGTGAATGAGAAGCAAAGGAACCAGGGCTTCAGGGGTTTCCCTCTCGGATCAGATAACATGGTGACTGTCTTGGACACGCCAGACTGAAGGCTTATTAGTGAGTTATCAGTCTATGCCGAGCTTTGCCAAAGGTAAGAGATGAAAGAGCGTAGGAAACGAAGCCAAGGATGGGGAACTGGGAAGGGAGCCAGCCAGTGCATCATGATTAGAAGGTGAGGCTGAAGCCAGGGGTCTGGAGAAGGCAGGGGTGGGCACGGCAGCATCGAGCCGATTGGGCTGGATCTGAGAATGTGGACAATGTTCTGGGAAATGTATGAGAGCAACTGGGAGAAACAGGTGTGATGGCAGGAAAAGGGGGCCTGCTTCTCTTCCTTCTTGATGAATAGATCATGTTGATAGTCTAGTGATAATAAAAGACCTTCATGGGTGAGGTGCTGGCTCCTCCAACTGGAAAGACATTCTCTCCTGACTCAGAGGATCTGCTCAGGATCTCCTTGGGCAAAGAGTGTGGTGCAGAAGCTCCCAACAAAGGCCAGGGGCTGTCCCTTAGTTGCCTGCTGACCTTGGGTGAGCAGAGGCAGAGGGTGCACCTGTGTGATCTGCTGTCCTGAGCGTTCAGAGCCTGCTCAGACCTGGCAGGCAAGGTCAGAAGAACATGTGTAGCTGAGAAAATCTACCCAGTATGCAATTTTTATTACACCCAAATATAGCTGGTGTCAGAGGTGTGCTTGGGGAAGGAGAAGACCACTGCGTGGCCCAAATCCAGAGGCGGAAGCAGGCAGCCTCGGGGCTTCCTCAGCCTGTCTAGGGGCAGCCCCCGAGAAGCCCCTCTCCTCCTTCCACTGCCCTGACTGCCCTCTGCATATCCCCTGGGTTCTGAATCAAGTCCAGGCCCCTGCTCAGCAGGGCTGCCAACTGGTCGACTTTATTCTGTGATTCACTGTCTAGCGCCAGAGTGAGTTTCCCTGATGAGCCTGTTAAGGCTGAAAACTTAAAACTCTCCAAAATCTTCTTAGTAAAAAGCAAAAATAAGACTTCTGCCGGCCTTGGTTGACCGATGCAAAGTGCTCCCAGCAGCCAGGTCAAATGGCCTGCACCCCGCAGTGCTGTGAGCAAACCCCTGGCAGTGGGCATTAGGGAGTCCGGCAGAGATTCTCCACTGGTGCTGCCCACCAAGGACCTATCTCTGTGACTACTTGGGATTTGGAAGAGGTTAATTAGAACGATCTGGCTCTGCTTCTTTCTGGCTGCATGACATCAGGCAACTTACCTGTCTCCTCTGACCCTGGGTTCCTCCTCTGTAAATTGGGGATTAGAATGTGCACATCCAGCAGTGGTCGGGGATTCCAAATGGGGTGACGCAAGTAAAGCATTTGAAGGAGTCCTTGCTCATGGCAGGACCCAGGATGTGCTTTTGTTATTGTTTTCCTTTACTTGTAAATCGACGCCCACCCGCCTGCCTGTCTCCTGTCATTTACTCCTTAGCTGTGTTTTGATGGAGGGAGACTTGGCCAAGATCCCCAGCCCCTCAAAAGTTCTCTGAAATCTATGACACTCCTCTGACAATAGGGCAGAAGGCTGCCCTTGATTTCTCACTGTTGGCTCTGATTTCTGGGAGATTTCCTACTGGGGTGAGCTGCACTGGCCCAGGCCTGAGTGTTGAGACTGTGAGAGCTACTTTTGCCTGGACTACAGGGAAGGGCAGCTATTTTGGGGACTTGACTTTGCCCCTTTCCTCTGGACACCTCTGTCTTCCTATCAATAGTTTGCTCTTCAAGGATGGGAGGTGCTGAGTGGTGATGGTGGTGATTCTCATCTTGTCTCCTTCAACTAGTTTGGAAGAAGAGTTCTAAGAGGGTGAAATAATCCCCAAAGCAGGAACTCCATGGAGAGCATTCCAGTCAAAGAGCTCCTGGCCTCTTCCAAATCTCCTTTCCAGAGTTCCACGCCCCAGCCCCAGGGGCCAATCCTGTCTTTCATGCTCCTATCAGAGAAATCCCTGAGGGGGGCTCCAGGCAGAGGTCCCTCCGCCCTGGCTGCACTCTGGAATCACATTGGGACCCTTAAGAAGAGACTAGTATACCCTACCTTGGACCACTCAGCTGGAGTCTCTGGGAATGGGCTAGGAGAACCACAGTTAAAAATCTTTGCGGATGATTCACATCTACAGCTACAGTCAAGAGCCTCAAGGGCTGGAGCATGTATGGACTCTCTCTGAATCAGTTCTCTGTTCCCTGACTGCAGCCCATTTCCTTCTTGGGTCTGAAGGAGGCCCTGATCTGCCTGCTGGTACACCCTCTGCGCCCAGTTTGGCCCAGTTTGTCTGAACGCATAGGTTGCAGGGGACCCCTTGGGGGCTTGGAGATGATATAGCTCCAGGGCAATAGACAAAGGGACTAAGCTGCCCTTTGCTGACTGCAGTTTCAAACATCTTTGCAACACTGGCGCGCCTGCCTATGAAGGTTTGCACTCGAAATGGTAACAGCCCTTCCTGTTCCCCACTTCCCACTGCCAGATTCTTATCCCATTTTTTTTTTCTGCTTTATTTTTCTGCTGGACACTTACTTGCACCTGACGTTCTACCTTCTTATTCTCCTTCTGAAATAAACATTTAAACAACTTTTCTTTATTGTCTTCCTTCCTTAGACTGTGAAATCTCTGAAGGCAGGAATGTGATGTTCTGTTGGTGCTGCATCTTGAGCATCTAGAAAAATGGCAGGCACGAAATAGGTCCCACAGAAATATTTACCAAAAAACAATTTTTGGGGTGAACAAATGAAGGTTTGCTTTGCAAAGTCTGGCCTGGTTGATGTAAAAGAAAAATACAGGAAGTTGATAGCCAAATGCAGATCAAAGTCTTAAAGGAAAGCCCTAAAGGCAAGGTGAGCATCCTGTAACTTCCCCACGCCTCTTACCCCAACCCGGACTCCTGAAAGTGGTGAGCCCACCTTTCCTCACTGCATCCAGAGAATCACGTCAGTCTTTTTAAATGCGAAAGCCGATGACTGTAGGCAAACAGACCCTTTGAGGGAAGAACTCTCATTGTTCCCTTCCACTGTGAAGCTAGTAGAGTCATTTGCCCAAGGTCATGTGGCCAATTATCAGCAAAACCAGGATTCAGAGTGTGTGCCCAGGATGAAGCTCAACTCATGACCTGCACTTAACAAAGTATCATAAAGCTTAGCCACCCACTGGGGTCTTAGCAGGAGGCTCTGTCTCCAGATGCTATTTTGCTCCCCCAAATTTCTCTTCTTGTTTCTTTCCCAAAATTCATGGCTCAATATACAAGATGTTGGGAATCCCAACCAACTGCAGATCTAACACTTTTATGGGGTAGAAGGTGACTTATAGGATTAGGCCCCTATAAAACCTGCAGCACCAGGGTGCAGGAGAAGCGTGAGTTTTCTTTAGGCAACACATACATGAAAAGGAAGAGTAGAAGAGTCTCTCTCATCTGTCTGCCTATATACCTACCTACCTATATACCTACTGATCTCTCTCTCTCTCATCTATCTATCTAATCTACCTACCTACCTATCAATCTATTCATCTATTGATCTATCTTTATTATCTATTTAACTCTATCATTTATCTATATATCTACTCTATCATCTCTATATCTCTGTTATCTATCTACCACTATCATTTACACACATGCACACATACACAAGTATATTTTAGCGCACCACCAGATAAAACACTCTTTCTTCTTTCCTAAAAAGTCCAAGGGCAGGAGAGAGGCTAGGTTGTTCTTACCATGTAAAGGATACTGTGGGAAGGAGCACTGTATCTCCCCTCAACCACATGCATTGTTTCTAAAACCTGTAAACACCTCTGAAACTCAAATGCAAGCCTGAAAGGTGAACCATTTGCTTCCAGTCTTCATAGCTAGCAAGGGATTTTCACCAGGGATATTTTGCCCAAATTTGTAATCTCTCTGATTGCCAAGCCATCTCTTGATTACTTATTTGATGCATAGTGGGATGCCAATCAGGGACTGGGCTAAGAGAGAAGAAGGTGGTCTTCACGGGTGGCCATCAGCCAAGATGGGATGGGCCTCACCTTTCTTGGTCAGAACTCACATGAGAATGGAGAAACCACTTCAGTGGGAATTACTGGGCCTGGCTAATAAAACTATGGAAGGGGTGTTACCAGCAAAAGTTGTCCACAATGCAGAACTCTGTTTATTGTACCTATTTGTGGAAGTCAAGCTCTTTCTAGATCATCTTTAGTAGGGGAGATAGGTTGTCAAGTGCAGATAACAATTGGCTTGTCCCTCTTTGGTGATGATGGCATCATGCCTACTATTTATTCAACACTATGCATCAGGCACCATGTCAAGCTCTTTGATTCCATTAACTAATTTATTTCTTTTAACAACCCTGTGAGGTAGAGCCTCTTGTTATTTTCATTTCAGAGCTAAGGAAACAGAGGTTCCCAGCTGGTATGTAGTGGAGGCAGGAACTCCATCTAGTCCTGTGGTCTCTGCTCCAGTGTTCTCCCTCACTTCTGTGAGCTTCCTGAGTGGAAGGAAAAGTGATTTTCTTGCCCTGGGAGCCCATGAGGGGTTTTCCTGGTGCCCAAGGTTTGTACACACAGAATAAAGTGGTTCTCAAGTCTCCTTGTCCATCTGCTGCAATGGGATAAAATCCTGAGATGGGTGAAGAAGTTGGGACAGAGCCCCTCCTCGCTTCCACCCTCGTTAGAAGAGGTGAGGGTCCCCCACTCAGCTGCTGGGCTCGAGAGGGAGCGCTAACTTTCTCTCCATGTAGAAACCTATCTCTTCCACTGTGATGATTTCCCCCAGGAGGGGGTCATCATTTGTGCATTTTGGATACTGCCCTGAGAAGCAGAAAGAGAATCCACTTCTGGAGGTTCCATTTCTCCAGGCATTACTGGGACCCATTGCCTCTGCTTCTGTGGAGCTGTTTTATCTGAGATCAGCTCACATCCAGAGCCTGCTGACGGCATTAAGGTTCAAACTCATTCAGCACCAGGGCATGTTATTTTTTTACATCTTTCACCAGGTCTCTAATATGAATTACTTCTTGGGGAAAAAAAGATCATTCACAGACCTCGCCTTTTAAATGCCAGTGTGTTTGCTTATCAGATTGTTTGGCTGGAAGGAGGCGTGCTGGCCTTGGCATAAGTCTTCCTGGAGAAAAATGAACTGCGTGACTACTGGACATTTAAAGTTTTTAGATAAATAGGCAAAAAGTCATGGCACTAATCAGTAAATTCAGAAACTTCCACAGAGCTTTGTGGACTCTTCTATGTAAACCAGACCTAGTCCAGTGAAATGCATTTGCTGATAATCGCGGAGGACAGCAGTGGAGTTTGGTTTGCCTGCCTGAAAAACATCCCTTCTTCTGGTCACAGCATCCAGATTTTGTTGCAGAAAATGTTCTTTTGCCCATTGGATAGAGTCTCTGGCAGACTATTAATAAAGGTGCCCCACCCATGGCCAAGGGGTGGGCATGAGATTCAAGCTCAGCCAATCAAATGCTCTGTTACTGTAATTTGAGTCTTAAAACAAAAACAATATAGTAAGATCCTTTCATTCCAACAGTAATTGCCCAGAGAGATTGTTAACTTTTTCTTGCCTTCCAGATCCCCAGAATTGTCCTGGTTCCCATTCTTTTGTTTTCTTTTTAAAAAATAAGTTGTATTTTGTTTCTAACTGGCACATAATAGTGATACATGTTTATAGGGTACAGTGTGATGTTTCCATACATGTATAGATAATGTTATGATCAAATCAGGATAATTAGCATATTCATTCTTTATAAGAGCTATTCCCCAACTTTCCATTTGATTCTTGGAGCTGTCCACACCCTGCCAATAAATTCACTTTTACTGAAGTCAGAGTTGCTGTTTGTTGCTCATGGTCACAACTACAGAGGCTGTTAGGATCCTCCCAGTGGACAGACTGCTTCCAGCACCCTCTGTCCGCAGTGCCTGTGCCTTGTACGCTGGGGTCAAGTTCCTGGGTGTGCCCTCCTCTGTCTTTAACTGAAACTGGTCTCGTCTCACTCACTGGTCTGGAGGCAGCTGGTCTAGTTCAGAGATGGCTATTGGGTGAAGTAGGTACAGACTTTCCTAGATGTCTTGATGCTTTTGTGGATCAGTTTGATGCATTCAAAGTAAATCTTGGTGACTTACAGAAGTGGGAACTAAATTTCTCTGCTAGTTTTAAACACACACTTGTGCAGGGTCTTTTGCCCTTGAAGTAGAGATTTCTGGGAGGCAGGAGGGGTTGGTGGCATAGGCAGGAATTGGATGTCTGACCATAAGCCCAAGAACTGGGCTGCTCCTCAAACAGACTCCAATGAGCAGCCCGTGGTGTAAGTCTGAGGATATGTGGCCCTCGGTTCTTTTGTAATTGTCTGTTCATCATATGCATCATTGCTTTTTTATTCACATAGGTTATTTTGTAAAGTTTGCTTTTTCTAATTAATTTTCAGTGAAAATTAAGTTTGCAACAATAAATTAGCAAGGTTGCAAGGAAAGCAAAATAGTGGATAAAGGAGTGTCAGAGAGAATCACCCCAAACCAGAGATACAAATATGCCCAAGGGAGCCAGTCATGGAGGAGGGGTAGGAATATAAAAAGAGGAAATGATATTTTCTTTTACTTCTACAGAGATTTATTAAGATTGATTTTTAGTGAGATTAAAGGTAAGTGACTCAACTAAATTATGGGCTGCCCAGATTCTGATTACCTCCTAACTATTTATTAGCATCTGCAAGGCTCTTTGCAGTTTTTCAAAGTGCTATTGTGGCTGCTATTTATTTTGATCTTCATAGTAACCTTGCACATTAAGATATTATTATCTCCATTTTGTAAAATAGAAAAACAAAACTAAGTAGAGGGTTAAGTTCAAGGTTGTATGATCAGCCCAGGTAGTTCCTCCCCAAGCTCAGCATGTCCCTAACCCTATATTCTATCCCATGCCAACCCTGCTGTACTCTGCTAACTTTTGCTTGGCTTCAGACACTTTTGTCTAAAGGAAAGATGGTGGCTGATTGGGCTTGATACTACTTTGGTTTTGTGACGAGGTATTCAAACTCTAGGTTTACCACTTACTTGTTTGTGACTATATGCAATTCATTTACTTTTGTGACTTTTTGTTTCGGTGGAGACAATAATTTTGTTTTATTATACAATTTTCATAGTTTTGGTTTATTCTTTCATTTCAATCAGTCACTCAAGAGACGCTTCTTGAGCACTAAGTCTTTGTCATTTGCTGCAGTTGGTATATTGAGCCTAAGACTATGTTCAAAATCAAACCCAAAACTAGCAGAAGAAAAGAAATAGCAAAACTCAGAGCAGAAATAAGTGATATTGAGATAAAAAATACAAAGGATGAACAAAACAAAAAGTTGGTTCTTTGAAAATATAAACAAAATTGGTAGACTGCTAGCTTGATTAACCAAGGAAAAAAGGGAGAAGATTCAAATAAACACAATCAGAAATGATAAAGGTAACATTACAACTGATAGATACCACAGAAATACAAAAGATCATCAGAGACTACTATGAGCATCTCTATATGCATAAACTAGAAAACCTAGAGGAAATGGATAAATTCAACCTCCCAAAGATTGAACCATAAAGAAATAAAAATACTGAACAGAGCAATAATGAGTATTAAAATTGAATCAGTAATAAAAAAATTTCTCCCCCACAAAAATCCCAGAACCA